TTCTAACCACTAAGGCACTGTGCTATGAAATACCAGCAATAAAATATGGTAACAGCAATGGAGTGAAAATGTGAAAATCACAAGAAAGATTACTTTCAGGTAAACATAGAATAAAAACTCAACAAATAACATCAAAATGGTGACACGCTTGGATTGGCTGCATTCTGTTCTAAGCCCAGCCACTTCACTTCAAACTTACCTATACAGAGAAATGAATGAACTGTCTTTTATACTTAATTCATTACAGTAATTTTGTTTAAGAGCTTGTTCACACTTGCTTTGGTCTTTAACCTCCCTAGTGGTCTGATTATGTCCATATTTCTGTGCTCAAAGCATTACCTCTTTTTGCATGGAAATATTTTTTTTTATTTATTGTAGGCCTGTAATTTTTAGGAATAACTCAATGAAATCTGTCCGAACAAGAGTCTAGTAAACATCCCGGGTAGGATAAAATTTGAAACACTAAATCATAAATTATAATTTAATAAATAATCATAAAATTTGAAATAGAGCGCCAAGTTCGCACATCACTGAGCAAAGTCAGAAAATCGTTTTCAGTGTCTGATGACGAATTTCTCCACGAATCATTATCATTCAATTCTGCAAGTGGTTCTGATTTACTATCGCTGTTCTCTAGTTGGTCTAAAACCGCTTTTGACCTAAAGGGATGCTTTTTAGACGCCATGGACGTTTCTCAGTTTCCAGGCAGAAAGAACAGTAAAAATGCAGGCAGGGCGCAGGACAAAGCACTCGGGACAAAATGTATGTGAAATGGTTTGATACAGGAATGTTATACTATGTGATTTTAGTGAATGCCACTTTTTGTCATTTTCAATTTTCCCACCAGTTCCGTCCCCCGTACGTCCCGACGTCGCAGGGGACGGAACCCAGAAGACAGATGCCGGCATCCGCCGGAGGACATTACAGGGGACGCTGCAGGGGGGACATCGCGGGAGCGCAGGACAAGGTAAAAGAACAGATCCGGGAGCAGTGCCGCATGGTAAGGCTGAGTGTAGCTCGGTGTTACCGCATGTGGTACTGAAACTTTACCCCAAGCTACACTCAGGAATACAGCCAGGGAGGTTAATGAGCGATACGTGTTTGGATTGCTCTTCAGAGAGCATTGAAAAGGCAATGAGGAGGTTTTGTATCACGTCCTCCCTACCTGCTTTAACCCTTGAAACCCATGCTAGCATGCCACAGACACTTGCATTGCACATGGCTGCAGGGTGACCCAATTAATTTGAATAGGTTGCGCTTAGCAGGCGCTATGCCTGCCAAAAGCAATGGGGGCGCAATTCTTGCTGCAACAACAAAGCACCCACAGCCACTGCCTCTTCAGCTAAAGCAAGAGTGGTTGGAGGGTGATAAAATGTGACTCAACTGCAGGATTTTACTGCCCTTCAACCACTAGTGTGAATGAGCCCTAAAGCAAAACTCTGGGCAAACAGATAAATACACAGTTGGAAAACATAAAAGTGGAATGTTACTAAAGTTTCAGTTTTTTTTTGTTTTGTTTTTAAATAAAAAAAACATGCCTATACTGACCTGCTCTGAGCCTGGATCCTCCTCTTCTCAGGTCCCCAGCTGACACTTCTGGCCCCTCCTTCCTGTTGGGTGCCCCCATAGCAAGCAGCTTGCTATGGGGGCAGCTGAGCAGGCACACTGCTGAGCTGCTGCTCCATGTGTCCATTCACACAAGGAGCCACGGCTCGGCCCGCTCCCTCTATCTCCTCATTGGCTCACTGGCTGTGATTGACAGCAGTGGGAGCCAATGGCTTCTACTGCTGTCTCAGCCAATGAGGAGGCAGAGACTCAGGACACCCGAGGTTCTTGTGCACATTGCTAGATTGCAATGGGGCTCAGGTTAAGTATTAAGGGGCTGGGGGGGCTTCTGCACACAGGTTTTTTACCTTCGTGCATAGAATGCATGAAGGTAAAAAAAACCTTCAGCCTTTACAACCACTTTATCTGTCAAAGGATTTGTATTTCTTTCTATTTAGTTCTAATAATGGCCATATATGCTTAGATAAATGATTGATTTTTTTTCCACTTGATTTCTTCTGATAGTAATAATCACTCTATTGTGGATAAGCCATTCGATTGATAGGCTTCACACAGAGAAGTGGATTTTGCTTTATAGTTAGGATATGATTATAAGTTATCAACTGTACCTCCACCATATAGTGTCATAATCTGATCAATCAAAATACAATTACATTCATTAATAAAGTATCTCAGTGTTGGCTATTGATCTAAAAAGATTGATAATGATCACCCTGGCTATTTGACTCAGTTTGATTGAAACTGATTTAAATCGGAAGGGAAGTTGTGGCTATTTGGTTGATGATTCAATCATTTTGATCGAATGACAGATCGAAGCATGTGTTACCACCATAAGAGTTACTCAGCTCTGTCACACAACACAGCCCTGTCTGTCAGGGTGAAAGCCTACCCCGCTACTTTGCATCAACCAACCATTATGCAGGCCATAGACGGGAAGAAAACCGGCCGTTTTTTTTTTAATAAAAATGAAAAATCGGTCGTTCAATCAGCCAACGTTACCACCATTGCTAAAAAAAATGTCGGCTGTCTTTCGTCCCGTCTACGGCCGGCAATTATATAGAATATGCAGAAAAGAAGAAATAGAATATGAATAATAAAAAAATAGAATATGCAGAAGAAGAAATATAGAATATGAATAAAAAGAAGAAAAAGTTGCAACATTGTATCTATTTGTATCCATTTTGGATACAGATGTTTCTATTCGGATACAAATACAGTAGATACAATGTTGCTATACTTTTAAATGTCAAATATAATATCGGACTGAAATTCTTTTTTTTTTTCTTCTTCTTACTCATATTCTATTTTCTTTTTCTTTCTTCTTCATATCTATTTCTTCTTCTTCTTCTTCTATTTTCTTTTACTTCTTCTTCTTCTTCATATTCTATTTCTTCTTTTTCCTCTTCTTCTCATATTCTATTTCTTCTTTTACTCCTTCTTCATATTCTATTTCTTCTTTTCTCCTTCTTCTTCACATTCTTCTCTATCTATTTTCTTTTCTTCATTTTTTTTCTTCTATTTCTCAATTTATTTTTCTTCTTTCATTCATATTCTATTTTTTTCCTTCTTCTTTTCCTTCTTCTTTCATGTCGCTACTCATGCGCATTTTTTAAAATCGGAAAAAGATCGGCAGATTTGTCCATCATTGCCGTGAAAATTGGCAGAACAACAAATTTGGCCGATTATTTCCCAGCAGGACCGATAATCAAAAAGGGCAAAAATCACAAAAAACGGCCGACCGATTACCGCACTGACGATCCAAAAATCGGCCGATTTTTTTTTTTTGGCCGATTTTCAGCCGTTTTTCATCCCATCTATGGCCCGCATTAGCCTAAGGCTGGCCAAACAATTATACAATTTTCTTGTACAATTTTCCTTTAGATTTACCAAAACCCAAATATGAGGTCAAACCTAAACATTTCAATTTGTATGCAATCAGTCAGGCCCCTGCGCCACATAATTGATAGTTGCATAGTTACATAGTTAGTCTGGCTGAAAAAAGACAAAATTCCATCCAGTTCAACCATAGAAAAAAAAAAAAGTTATAATTCTACATCCACAGTTGATCCAGAAGAATCTTATTTGTAAAAAAAAATTCCTTCCCCCGAGAGGCAAAGCAGTGATCTACCGTATTCCTGGAAACTGCCAAACCCAGCACGTCCAGGCCAGACAGAGAAGTGGGATTCAAAAGAACATTCTCCACTGGTCTAGAGTCCAGTGGTGGCGTGCTTTGCACCACTGCAGAGCTTTGCATTGCAATCGTGATATTTGCTTGGATCAGCAGCTCGGCCATTACCCATTCCCTGGATCAACTTTACCTAAAATGTTATATCCAGTTATATTCTGTGTATCTAAGAAAGAATCCAGGACTTTTTTGAAGCAATCCACTGAGCTGGCCAGAACCAACTCTTGAGGGAGTCTATTGATGGTAAATCTAAAGGTAATTGAATAAGAAAATTGTATAATGTATGGCCAGATTTGGAGGTTGAGGATGTTACAAACATAGAAAAATTATCTACAAAAGATTTAAGATTGCTTCTTGTGTAGGTGCCTTAGGTAACCTTAAAATGGAGACCAGTCCTATAGAACAAAGAACTTGTTTGAAATGCCCGACTGATGAATCACAACTATAATATTCTCATACTCTGCAAAAGGATCCAAAGAAGGAAGGAGGAACTGTTCACCATATTGAAAGCCTAGGAACAGTTTATTGAGTCATGCAGCACATAGATTACTCCATCCAATGTACAAACTCCTAAAAAGTTTCACTCTGTAAGAAGCTTACCTATTGGACTATAGGTTCATTGATCCCATGAGTAAGCTCCTTGTGTGTTGGATGGCTCAGTAAATTGTTCTGAGACTTTTAATGTGGTGAGTGTTTCCTCCTTCCTTCTTTGACCCTTTTCCATAGACTATGCTAGAAGGCAACGACAATAGGAACTGGTTCCAGTGATCATTGGCAGTTTGGGGATTCAGTGCCGGCAGTGGCATATTTGTTCTTTGTGTATGATATTCCCATAAAAGCAGTTTGCAAATAGTTTATCTTTTATATTCATTATCACATTAATCCATGCCCAGCTAGCTTATTGCAGATTTGCTACCTAATGCAAGGCTTTTTGGTAGTTTATTATTGGCATTCAAATGCTAAAAACTGTTACACACCTATTCTTTTATGTTTTTTTAAATTAAAATTATGCATGAAGCACTTTACTTGGATTTAATATTGTCTAAGCCAGCCTTTCTCAGTCAGGGTTCCATAAAACACTACGGTTCCTCCAAAAGTTGATAGGGGAATTAGCAATTTCTGTCTTTTTCTAACCACTGACACAACTTTTTAGGTCTTGGTACGGGGGCATTCTTTCCATTGAGCAGCGCTTTACAGAGCATTTTTCCTATTAATCGCCAATGAAAGGAGCATTCTTCCCACTGACCACCAATGTAAGGAGCATTCTTCCCACTAACTTCCAATGTAAGGAACATTCTTCCCACTGACCACTAATGTAAGGAGCATTCTTCCCACTGACCACTAATGTAAGGAGCATTCTTCCCACTGACCACTAATGTAAGGAACATTCTTCCCACTGACCACTAATGTAAGGAGCATTCTTCCCACTGACCACCAATGTAAGGAGCATTCTTCCCACTAACTTCCAATGTAAGGAACATTCTTCCCACTGATCACTAATGTAAGGAGCATTCTTCCCACTGACCACTAATGTAAGGAGCATTCTTCCCACTAGCTTCCAATGTCAGGAGCATGCTTCCCATTGAGCAACAATGTAAGGAACATTCTTCCCACTGACCACTAATGTAAGGAGCATTCTTCCCACTGACCACCAATGTAAGGAACATTCTTCCCACTGACCACCAATGTAAGGAGCATTCTTCCCACTAACTTCCAATGTCAGGAGCATGCTTCCCATTGAGCAACAATGTAAGGAACATTCTTCCCACTGACCACTAATGTAAGGAGCATTCTTCCCACTGACCATCAATGTAAGGAACATTCTTTCCACTGACCACTAATGTAAGGAGCATTCTTCCCACTAGCTTCCAATGTCAGGAGCATGCTTCCCATCAAGCACCAATTTAAGGAGCATTCATTCCACTCACCACCAATCTAAGAAGCATTCTTCCCATTGACCAACATTATAAAAAAACATTTCTCCTATTGACCACCAATGTAATGGTGCTCTTCTCTCACTGACTACCAGTTTAAGGGAGCCCTTGTCTCAAGGACCACCAGTATAAGGGAACACGTTATTGGCCTTCAAGGTAAGGGGGCATGTTCCACTAATTTCCACTGTAAGGAGACATTTTCTCTGACCACCAAATTGGGGTAACACTACAATTTTCACTGTCTGTATTTCTTGTTAATTGTCATTATTTTTACTGAAAATTATTTTGGCATTTACAGCAGTCCTGAGTGTCACAAATGTTTATTCTTTTATTTATTCCTATAACTATATCAGGGATGAGCTGAAGGTTCAGTTCAAACACAGCTTTGTACTAAACATTGCTTGTTCAGGGGTCTGTCCAAACGTTGGTCTTCTAGCCCAGGGGTGTCAAACTGGCGGCCTTGCAGCTGTTGCGAAACTACTACAAGTCCCATCATGCCTCTGCTTTTGGAAGTCATGCTTGTACTGTCAATCTTGCAATGCCTCATAGGACTTGTACTTTGGCAACAGCTGGAGGGCTGCCAGTTTGACATCCGTGTTCTAGCCCATTTAGCAGGAGCAAAAAGTAATTACAGTTGTGCTCAAAAGTTTGCATTCCCTTGGAGATTTGGTAATAAAATGTACCATTTCAAAAAACATGAGTGAGCCGGCAAAACATTTCTTATAGGATTCATATTGAACTGTAGATCATAACAGAAAGGCACAATCACTTAAACAAAACATGGCAGCAAGTAAACAAATGAAATGCCCCCTGTTCAAAATTCTGCACACCCCTAGTTCTTAATACTGTGTATTGCCCCCTTTAGCATCAATGGCTGCATGCAGTCTTTTGTAATAGTTGTCTATGAGGCCTTGAATTCTTGCAGATGGTAAAGCTGCCCATTCATCTTGGCAAAATGCCTCCAGGTCTTGCAAAGTCTGTGGTCGTCTTGCATGAACCACACGTTTGAAATCTCCCCAGAGTGGCTTGATGACATTAAGGTCAGGGGACTGTGATGGCCACTACAGAACCTTCATCTTTTACTGCTGTAACCACTGAAGAGTCATTGTCTTTTCAAAGTTCTTTTCTGCTCCCCATGGCTCATTATCTAGCCTGTTCAGTGCATCCACATGAGAGCTAACAAAACTCTATGACTCTTGACTATTTATACACAGACAATTTAAAAAGCCACAGATATGGGAAATTAACCTTTAATTGCCATTTTAACCTGTGTGTGTCCTTTTGTGTGTCTGTACCAAGGCCATTACAGGGTATGTAAACTTTTGATTGGGGCCATTTGGGTGATTCCTGTTAGCATTATGATTTCAAAAAGAGCCAAACAATTATGTGATAATAAATGGCTTCATATGATCATTATCCTTAAATAAAAGACAGTGTTTTGGCATGATCAGTAGTATTATCAATATCAATGCCAAAATTTCATGATTTCTGCCAAAGGTATGCAAACTTTTAGCACAACTGTATAGTAACAGTTTTTCTACCACCACTATATGTTATTATTATAATTATTATTATTGTACAGGATTTATATAGCGCCAACGGTTTGCTCAGCGCTTTACATTATAGTGGGAGACAATACAGTAACAATACAGTTCAATACAAGAGGGATTTGAGGGCCTGATCCTTGGAGCTTACAATCTAGGAGGGAGGGGTTAATGGTACAATAGGTAATAACTGTGGGGGATGGACTGGTTGGAAGAGTAGAAGATTCCAGTATTAGCAGAGGGTGGGATAGACATCCCTGAAGAGATAGGTTTTCAGTGATCGCCTAAAAGTAAGTAGGGTAGGCGATAGTCTGATAGATTGGGGTAAGGAGTTCCAGAGGATGGGGGGTGCCCTGGAGAAGTCCTGGAGACGAGCATGGGAGGAGGAGATAAGGGAGCTAGAGAGTAGGAGGTCTTGCGAGGAGCAGAGAGTACGGTTTGGGTGATATTTAGAGATCATGATGTAATTTGGGGCAGTGTTGTGGATGGCTTTATATGTCATTGTTAGTGTTTTAAATTTTATCCGTTGGGCAACTGGGAGCCAGTGGAGGGATTGGCAGAGAGGGGTGGCAGATACAGAAAATATATGTGACAACTTCTTTCACCTGCCACGTCCTTAGCAACTGGACCAAACAACAAACCATCAGGCCCCATAAATTTGGTGTCTTGGAATCCCCAGCCATGTAAACAAAGGGGCAAGACAGTGATTGACATCATTGCCCAAAAATGGCCACATGGGCAATGACACCACTGGGTATACCCAGACCCTTTGTTTAAATTTACCTGGACCGTAGCTGTCATTCGTGGTGAGTGTAGTGATGGGATCAGACTTGCCAGTCAATTGGTGGTTTTTTTTCTCCTGGAGAGTGTCAGGAGCGTGTAGCACTCTGCTCCATCACAGCTGCTGGTCTCATTCCAGCATCCTGGTTTTGGTTGTGATACATTCTCCCTGTTGTCTGTCCACTTGTAAGTTGATTGATGTGGCCAGCCTCTGTGTGGAAACCTAACCTGGTTTGAACCATCCAAGCTTGCGGCCTCATGCTAGTAATGTTTCGTTAGTAACACGTGCTCCAAGCTCCGTGTTTGTCTGCCCTGTCCCTGTACCTGCTAGCTTGGATTCCTTTGTTGCCGATTTGGGATCGGATATCGACTACTCTCTGAACTCTGCCTGCCTTTTGACTACAGATTTGACCCTGACTATTCCAAACCTTGCTTGCCTTGTACCTTGACTGTCATTGAACCACTCTGCCTGTCTGTCAACTGCAGGCACCTGTTTGCTGTGTTCAGTTTGCACCTGCCCCAACATAACAGCTGCACTGGTACCCATTACTCATTCAGGGGGGGTGGTACTTCGGGGCCTCCCACCCTCAGACCCACACAACCACTGGGCCAGGGTTGTGGGGAAAAGACCTACCCCAGCATGCGGAGGGCTTGTGGCCTGGTATGGTTTGGGGGGGGGGCCACTCTACTCACCTCTTTTCTGCCTGCCAGGCTGCACACTCAATGAATGAATGATAAATATCTGCTTTGTATTTTTGGGTGGAACCACACACTTTTTTTTTGTATTGACACCCCCCCCCATCAAAGATAAGAGTCTGGTATAGATGAAGAGAAGCCCTAGCTGTTTTTTAAGACATTGAAGCAACTGAGAGTCATTATTTACTGCCAATTTAAACTGCCTTTTTGGAAATGTCAGTATTTCTGCAGTAGATTTTATACATTGTGTACGCCACTTCACAGGCAGGTTGAAGGCATCCCCCCCAGGCATAGAATTTTGCATTTTTAATTATTTTCTATTAAAATCACTGCTTCCTGCCAAAATTTACATTTTCTCCAGGTCAGTGCCCAGCCCCCAGTACCATTTGCTTGACAATACCTTGCCTATTAGCCTAGAAAATAGGCATTACTGATTTTTAACATGCTGCTCCCCTTGACTTCATTGGGGTTCAGATTCAGCACATAAACTTCAGTAAAGTTTGCATACCTGCCTCAAACCCAACTCAGGTATGTTCAGCTCATCCCTAATCTACAACTTACTGTTCACACCAAGGTACTATGAAGTCTAGATATAATCATTATAGGTAGGGGTTCCTTGAATCTTGAAATGCATGTCAATTGTTCTTCAGTTTAGAAAGAATGCGAAAGCTAGTCTAAGCAGATTGTATGTGTATATCAATAGACTTACTAATGCTTCATAATCAATGAAAGATTTATTGTTGAATAAAAAGTACTCACTTGACTGTGTGTACGCATGTACAGACATTTTCTGTCCTTCTGTTGATGGTCTCAATTGAGGTAGGAGAGGATCTATAGAAAAATAATTAAAGCTTGAAAATTCTGAGCCGTTCGTATTGGAAGACTTCTTTTAGCTGCCTTATAAAAACAGTTTTTGGTTTTCCACATTTTTGGTCTAGCCATTAGCTTAATAAAATGAATGCACATTGTTTTCACTTTAGGCCAACAGAAAAGTAAACTGCTATTGTCATCAACATTATACATATCATTAATATGCCTGAATTAGGGAGAGAGTCCAAAACTCTCCAAAAAATCTAAATCTAGTACAAATGCTTTTTGAGTTGGTAAAACAAACCAAGAAAAATGAATGATGAAAAAAGTGCTACAATTCAATACAACATCCAAAAAATTAACCATTATTGATGTAGGCAGTGATTTTGCTAAAAGTGATTTGGCTGCAATCTAACCAACTTTACGTTTGCTGAAAGTTTGTCAAAATTAGCCTCATATTTCACCATGGTATAAATGGCTTCTGAATTAACCTTCTGCAAACTGCTATACTCACAAATTTAAAACCCAAACAGTTAGGCAGCCTTCTAAACCACAAACTGCAAATTTCAAGCCCAAATTTCAAGCCCATTCCTAGATTGTAAGCTCGAAAGAGCAGGGCCCTCGAACCCCTCGTGTATCACATTGTATTGTTTTCGTACCGTCGCATGTATTGTCCCCCTTTGTAATGTACAGCGCTGAGCGAACTGCTGCCGCTTTATAAATACTGTGTAATAATAATAATAATAGTAGAGAAACTAGGAATCACCAACTTAGTATATCAATCTACTTTAAATGGGCAGCAACAGAAATGTTGTCAATATAAAACTCAAAACATATTTTTTCTTTTAATAGAAAAAAAAATTCACTTAGAGGTGTACTCGCTTTGGTTGCCAGCGATTTAGACATTAATGGATATGTGTTGCTTTATTTTGATTGGACAACAAATTTACATGTTATACAAGCTGTACACTCACTACGTCACATTGTAGCAAAGTGTCATTTCTTCAGTGTTGTCACATGAAAAGAGAGAATCAAATATTTACAAAAATGTGAGGGGTGGACTCACTTCTCTGAGATACTGTG